ACACTGCTGTATACTACTAGAGAGAATTTCGTTAGTTTACTATTGGCTATATAACAATAATATATAATTAGTCATGCATGAGATCATTCTGATCATGTGAAACATAAAATAAACTAATAATTGGACAGTTATGAGAACACTTTGGTTATATGAAATGTGAAATAAATCGTTTAAATGATCCCCTCCCCCACATATACACTTTAGTATCTATAGCAATTGATTCACTGATGACTGGTTGGCTAAAGATATTTCTCAGCATAGTATTTATACTTGCTTCAAAATAACAATTGGTATCATATCATCATACGTTCTATAAAATTACTATGATCTGTCCTACACTGAAAAAAAAAATGGTGTCCGTCGAAACCTTTAAGGTTTCGTAGAAGTTTATTCTATTCTAAAAGTTATCGCATGCTTATACGAAATGTGTACGAGGTTTAGTAATGTACATGGTTTCGCGTGGCAATCCTTAAAAGTTTGAAACCTTAAAAAGGTTTTTTATAATATCGTTTTAGGTTTATTAGTTCTTCAAGGTTTCGTATAAAACTGTTACAGATTTCGTGTTAAAAAGTACCTTAAAAATGCTAGTTGTACTGGTAACTCATTTATGGCGTATCTAATATCAGCAACTTCTTTTGACGCCATAAATGGTTTGTTTGTTTGAATGAAAAAATAAATGATATAACTGGATAATGTTCAATTATTTATAGCCAGTCTGTATTCACCACATCTTATAAGTAAATTCTCAGCTGAATTTAATAATCTTTTTTGTTGCATTCACTCTTGATTATTATGTTTTGCAACGAATGTCACAATCTCTACAAGGAACTTGCAAATTGTTCAAACACCGTGCTGTTTGTTATTGCTTTTTCGAGCTGTCTTTTTTTAAACACAAATATACATGAAATTATATGTTCTGATTAGGCTGCCTTCGATTCAGATTTTACAAAACGTTTAAAATTTCATCTTGAATATTACTCTACTCATATTGTGACAATTCGGATAAAAAACTTGCTGAATTTATAGTAACAAATGTTCAATATATAAAGGTATTTCTTTTGTATATAAATACTTATTTTATTTTATTTTATATTAGTTATTCAAATTCTATCACATTTTATGTGACTGAATATATAACAACACTTGTTTAATATATAAAGGTATTTCTTTTGTATATAAGTACTAGTTTTATTTTATAAAAGTTCAATTCAAAAAAGTTATCTCATTATATAAAACTTTAGTTGATGAAAGTTGTTTCATTTTATAAGTTTATTGATTGGTCACATGACTTATTTCAAAATAACATATTCAAGAATCTATTGTTAATATTGTATTAACATAGAAGTGTATTTTATCTTATAAAATGAATGAATTGAAAGTCTGAAAATCAAGTTTAAGAGAGAACATCGTCCATTTCAACAAATATCTGTACAAGTACAAGAGATGAAGGTGTCATTGCGTCTCGAAGATTAGTAAGCACTCAAAAAATGTTATTTAAAAGAAATCGTAGAATAAAATTATTTTTTATTTTTTTAACTTTAGTCTCCGGTTCAGTTTTGGAATACAATAGATATTCATGTTGATCCGGAAGATTTAAATAAAAACATCCAGGTTATGAAGAACGAATTGGTAGATCGGAATGTTGATTCGGATTTGGTTAGAAGTTCATGGAAAAAAACATTAGTTCAAAGAAGAAATTTCATCAGATATCATACAACAAAAGAAGTTCTTGAAGAACATCCAGGTTATTGTTATGCTTCATTGGTATGCTCATCATTGCTTAGTTCAATTTGAATATTTTATCTTTTTTCATTATCCATGATTTTTTTAATGAATTTTTTTCTTAAGATTTTCGACGAGATTCGATATGTGTGTAATGCTGATATTGAAGAAAATTTGAAATCTATGTTGCCTAAATTACATGACAGCATTCCAGATAATTCGAGTTTTGCGAACGGTGAGTAAATGACTTGACTGTTTATCTGTTTAATACCATTCATTTATTCTTTAGATCTTCCAGCTGTACGTTTGATCAAACTTTTATCCAAGTATTTTACTGATTCACGGCAACAAATCATATCGAATAAAGTACGTAGTAAATTTCTTTAAAAACTAAACTCATCGCATAATCAACTGAGCAGTTATGTCTATTGGTTATTCTTTCATAAAAAAAGGTCACATTTTTTTCTTTATCGTTAGGGAATCATTATCGTCACGACTAGCTATACAAATAACAACAGATCAGTTTATTATTTTTCTCGATTATGAAGTTATTAGTGAAACATCATCAATTGATGAAGCTTTATGTATTGTTATTTCATTATATGTTATATTTGAATTACAATTTGGTATACACAAGCGAATTATTCAATTGTTGTATGGTATTCTATTAAAACAATCTGGAGCATTAACAAAACCACTACGCATTTTACTGACTTAATGGAGTTTTATTACTGATAAAAAAGAAGATCAAGAAGGTGGTGATATGATAACAACGAAATCAACAAATTCAAAAACTCTTACAGCTACAGTCGAAAGTTTGACACAAGTCGAAGATAGTCAAACTGATGATTTATCAGTTGTTATTCAAGCTCAATTAAATTTTTCATTTATATTTAGGTTGATCCAGGAAATAATTTTATGTGTAAGTAACTATTTTAATATAAATTATGTATCATCTTCTGCATTTAGGTTTACTCAAACAATGATTTTATATGTAAGTGATAATTTAAACATAAATTCAATTGTTTTTTATGTTTAGGATGACCCAAGGAATAGAGTTAAAGGTAATTATTTATTTCAAGTTCAACTAATCTATTCTTTTACATTTAGGTTAATCCAAAGAATAATTCTATTTGTAAGTAACTATTTTAATTTAAATTATATATCATCTTCTACATTCAAGCTAGCTCAAACAATAATTTTCTACGTGAGTGAATATCTAAATATAAACTGAATTTCTTTTTATATTTAGGATGAACCAAAAAAAAGAGCTAAAAGTAATTATTTATTTCAAATTCAATTCATTTTTACTTTTATATTTAGGTTGATCCGAAGAATAATTTTACGGATAAGTTGATATTTTGAATAATTTTATTGTTTTTCTATATTTAGAACGGTCGAAAGAATAATTTTATTGATCAATTATTATGTTAATATAAATTAACTCTTTTCTTTTACATTTCGATTGATCTGAAGCATGGATTTATGAATACTGAATGGCTTTAATATGAACTAATTCTACTTATGCAAAATGATACAAAGAATAATTTAGTTGGTAAGCAAAATACTTCTGTAAAACTAATTCTATTTTCTTTCATTTAGGTGATCACAATCTCAACTTCACCACTGGAAATAATTCAAATGATCTTCTTACATACAGAGAAAAGCTAGGAAGGCGTGTACCTTTTACTGTTGCACGGCAGAATCATATGAGTAAGTTAATAAATGCTATTGCTTAGTAAGCAATGCTTACTTAAAATAACGGAAAAGAATATCTTATACTGAGTTCACAAGAAGATGTCTTAAATCTTCAGAAGCAAACAGTAGTTTTGGTATCAGAACTGCTTCAGAATAGAAAAGAGTCTTGCATAGTACATTTTGCGAAACTAGAGACTGAATTGCAATAGGTTTTGATTACGAAACCTTTTTATTCACTCTTGAAAAATAGGTTTGTACGAAACCTTGACCACGAAACCATTTTTCATGTAGGTTTGACCATAGTATGGTACGGAATCTCGATCATACGAAACCAAAAAAAGGTTTCGAATTCGTTACAAACATCGAAACCTTTTTTTAGTTTCGTATAAACCCTTTTTTGTTTTCAGTGTATGGTTAGGCCATAGAGTGGCTTCAATCTCCGAATTTATCTTTTTTTTCTCTACCTACATTTTAGCGTCCAAGATGATACACTGGGACGCTAAACGAAGATTAAGTTGTCGCTTCTAGTCTAATTGGCTTAGGACATCTGCTCGGATAGCAGACGGTATGTGGTTCAAGTCCCATGAAGGGCATTTTTTTCTTGCGTTCTGTCACATAAGATATCTCATTATCGTTCCTCTCTCTTTTGTGTTCGAGAGATCTCTAGGTGTTCATACTATCTTTTTTCACAATATATCATCTCTCTTTTCTTGTGGTATATATAGTTTCGTTTGTTACTGTTTCATTATCAGTTTGTCTACTTTCACGTTTCATTCATACGGAGACAATTGAGTACTGTTGAGCAAGAGGAACGAAGATGTTTCAACATCATTAATGGTGAGAGATGTAAACGGACGAGCCGAAATGTCACTGGCGAATGGTATCGAGCTTGTTCGGACATAAAAGCCGCCGCTAACAAAAAAGCCAATGCGGTAAGTTTTAGATTTTTGTTTCTGGCTTCTTATAAAATTATCTTCTTATGTGTATTTTTAGGAAGCAGGGGAAAAGTATAGCGCACTTAACTGTCCAAACGCCCGAGAGGGCTATACAAACAGTTTAAAAAACAAGGGTGCACATGTACGCAAAACCTGCAGGAAATGCCGCAGTGCACGAGAGAGCGATGAAACCAAGGCCAAAGCGAAGGCATCCAGAGCTGCACATTATGAAGAGGTCGTCAAGCCGAAAAGACAAAAGGAATAGGAAGAGCATCTTGAAGCCTTTCCTTTTCTCAAGAAAGCCCAATCCAAGTTCGTCGGTAAAGTTATCGGAGAGGTATTGAACTCTCTTGCTATCTACAACATCAAATACAAGGCAGAATTCAACTACCTCATACATGGCTTGTATGAAAAGACATCCAGTCGTGAAACGGGCCTACGAGCAGATCTCTTCGTAGAGGTTGAACGGCAAGACAACCAAAAACCACTGATAATGGTAGTCGAAGCTCAAGGTTAGTATAACTTCCTATTTAACAATGATAATTTCTAACGTTTATATGTTTCTTCTGTTCACAGGTGTTCAACATCGTCCTCTCCTGAAGGAACATCTCAAGCGTATTCGGGAATATTGCAACACGAAATACCATGATGTGGAAGGTCTCAACCAGTCTCTACTCATCAAAGTCATGAAAAAGACCAACATGACACAGATTCAACATGATCAGGCGAAGCTGTTGATGAGTCTTAGACAAGGGTTTCTCCACATCATTGTTTATGATGCGAAGTCGGTGAAGGATACCATTGTCCCAGCGATAAAGGTATTGATCATGAAGCTGTCACCCAGCAATTCATTGATCAACTCTTTCTTCGTGAAGGATATTGGCGCAAGCCTAGTAATCCGTGTACTCTGTTTGAGTACCTCGATGCTCGCTCTAAACTCGGCATTGGCAGTACGGTGAAGAAGAACAATAAAGATCCTAACGACGAAGAAGATGGCAACGCCAGTGATAATAGTAAGTTATACATTTAACGTTTGGGTTATAACGCCGTTTGTTTTACTTTTAGAATCCCCCATTGACAGAGAAAAGGATAAACATAGTGTATGCTAGTGGCTAAAGATCGATTTGAGTTTTTCCAAGTCTAATACAGTTGGAAATCTGAAGATCAATTTTGACGGCCTGATCCCTGCAAAACAAGCAGCAATTACCTCTATCTTTGCTCCATCAAATCAAGAGCGTGTGGACGAAGAGGTAAGCATTTCAACTTCATTAACCTCAAAGTGTATGTGACTTTTTGTATTTATAGGCGCCTGTCGAGTAACGTGATCTCTCTCCATCACCATCGGATGATCAGCCTTCAATGGTGACAAAAAGAAGATAACTGACGTAGTATAGTTTTTTAATGTTTAATAATATTATTCTTTTCTGTTTCTGTTTTTAATAAACTTATTGTTTTTAATTCAATTTTTGATAATTATATTTATACTAAGTATTAGAGGATAGTGCATATCATCCTCTCTCCACATATGTTTTCTGTTACTCTCTTGTTTCTTTTTAAATGTATTCAATTAGTAATTTTTTAGTCTTCACACTTCCAACGCAAACAAATATGATAAATTGACAACAATATCACAATACATGACGTATTCTATCTCTGTGCATCAGCGACAATTACAAGCAAATCGAATTATTGTGAAAATATGTGAACACAATATTCTGTTAAGTATTTATTCATCAAATATTATTTATAATTTCATTTTTTACTATTTCAATATACTCTTCTACATCTTTAATATGAGGATGAGTTGGAGGTAGTAGACATTGTCTGATGTCCAGGGCACGGTCTAAATATGATAATGCTTTCGAATAGTCTTTCATATTGTAATACACCTTAGCGATATTGTTGTACGAAGTAGCCAAATCAGGATGGTTTGAAGGAAGAGTTTTCTGTCGAATTTCATCTGCTTTTTCGTGAGATGAAAGTGCTTTCGAATACTCTCCCATATGATTATACACCAAACCGATGTTGCTATATGAAGTAACCAAATCAGGATGAGTTGAAGGAAGAGTTTTTTGTTGGATTTCAAGTGCTTTTTCGTGAGATGAAAGTGCTTTCGAGTACTCTCCCATGTCTTTATACACCAAGCCGATGTTGTTATATGAAGTAGCCAACGAAGGGTGATTTGCTCGGAGTGTTTCTTGGCAGATTTCAAGCGCTTTATCGAAAAATGATAGTGCTTCCGAGTACTCCCGCATGTCTTTATACACCAAACCAATGTTGTTGTATGAAGTAGCCAATGAAGGATGGTTTGAAGGAAGAGTTTTTTGACAGATTTCAAGATCTTTTTTGAAAAATGAAAGTGCTTCCGTGTACTCTCCCATGTCTTTATACACCAAACCGATGTTGTTATATGAGGTAGCTAATAAAGGATGAGTTGAAGGAAGAGTTTCCCGACAGATTTCAAGTGCTTTTTCATGATATGAAAGTGCTTTTGAATACTCTCCCGTATTGTCATACAAATTACCAATATTATTGTATGAACTGGCTAGTGAAGGATGATTTGCCGGAAGAGATTTTTGCCGGATTTCTAGCGCTTTCTCGTAAGATGAAAGTGCTTTCGAATACTCTCCCATATCTTTATATACACCGCCGATGTTATTGTATGAGATAGCCAATGAAGGGTGATTTGAAGGAAGTGCTTTTTGCCGAATTTCAAGTGCTTTTTCGTAAAATGAAAATGCCTTCGAATACTCTCCCATGTTATGATAGACGAAACCGATGTGGTTGTATGTGGTAGCCAATGAAGGAAGATCTTCTTGACAGATTTCAAGTGCTTTTTCGTAAAACGAAAGTGCTGTCGTGTGATCTCCCATATTGTTATGCACACTACCAATGTTATTGTATGAAGTAGCCATTAAAAGATGATTCGAAGGAATAGATATCTGTCGGATTTCAAGTGCTTTTTCGTAAGATGAAAGTGCTTTCGAATACTCTCCCATGATATCATACACATTACCAACGTTGCTGTATGAACTAGCCAACGAAGGATGATCTGAAGGAAGAGATTCGTGTCGAATTTCTAGCGCTTTCTCGTAAGATGAAAGTGCTTTCGAATATTCTCTCATGTCTTTATAGACACCACCAATGTTGTTGTATAAAGTAGCCAATAAAGGGTGATATGAAGAAAGAGTTTCTTGACAGATTTCAAGTTCTTTTTCATAGAATGTAAGTGCTTTCGAGTAGTCTCCCATATTGTTATACACACCACTGATGTTATTGTATGAAATAGCCAATGAAGGATGATTTGAAGGAAGCGATTTTTGCTTAATTTCAAGTGCTTTTTCATAAAATGAAAGTGCTGTCGCATAGTCTCCCTTATTATTATGCACACTACCGATGTTATTATATGATGTAGCTAATAAGAGATGATCTGAAGGGAGAAGTTTTTGTTTAATGTCAAGTCCTTGTTCGTAATACCAAATAGCCTTTTCATAATCACCCTGTTCATGTTTGACATGTCCCAGGCAACCATAATAAAGCGATTTTTCATCCTCGTCAGATGTCTGTTTGAGTAATACGTTATAGACTTCTTCAGCTTTATCAAATTCATCAATTGTAAGCAATAGTTTACCTAGTCTTCTCCAACCTGTAGTACTACCAACTTCTTCTTGTATTCGATCGGTAAGTGTTCGAAGTTGGTGATCATCGTCCGACGTCAATTGTAATTCAACTTGATAAACTTGATTGTTACTGTCCATTTGTATAATTGCACCCACTTGAAAGACGGTGTGCATTGAGAAGAGGATTTCATTTTCTTCCTTAAAATAACTTTCCTCTTTAATGGAAGCAAATGGTGTTGATTGCAAACAAGGATCAATGGACATTATAAACAGAATGCCAACCATATCTGGTTTTGTTGAAGCATTTCGAGCAAAACTGAGGGAGACTTTTTCATTTTTACTGGTGGACAAAAAATTGTTAAATGATATAAGTCCACCTTTTGCTTTTTGAAGTTTTTCAAAGTCTGATTTCATAAACCCTTGCCCTCGATAAACTACAAAAGGTTTTCTTTCATAACTACTGACCTGTTGTTTGTACAGGTGTTCAATATGTTGATGTATATGGCGTATAAAGAAGCCCATGTTAATGATCATATCGGCATCCAACATTCGTAGTGCTTGATTGAGCATTTTGTAGGTAAAACACTCACGTGTATACCACCATATTGCCTTTTTTGGACGATACTCGCGTTCAAATTCATTAATAATCTGCAATTCAATTGAATTGTCAGTAAAAATGTTGCGACAATAAGTTGTCAAGTTTTGGATTGCATCGCGACTATATTCGACATCAAGGAGAATTTCCTTTAATATATGGGTATACATAAATGTTAGCTCCAACTGATTTAAATTCTCAGTTGAAGCCATTTCATCTGCTGTAAGAAAACTTACGGCAATTGTGTCCTGGTCGGATTGTTTAACAACCAATTGCAATGCTTGATAGATTTCTTTGATAGTTGTATGGACACCTTTAATTTTTGTCCAGTTTTGTGTCCATCCTTGATGTCTGGATTCATCACCACAGAAGATGTAAATGGCATCCAAATGTGGCATGTCATGGATTCGTGGAACCAAATGTTGACCTAATGAGCCTGATATTATGACGAATGCTCTTTCATTATCCGCCTGATTGAGCAACTGGATGCACTGATCCGTTTGAGTGCATAGGTTGATATCATTGATCACATTTTTCAGTTGAACCAGTATGTTTTGGTAGTCTTTGTTTTCTTCGTCGATGCTAACATCTACCCAGACGAGACGGTGATTTTGATCTATGCAACGTCGTGGTTGACGAACCTTGGATACTGTTGCTGCTGCTGTTAGAGAAGATTGAGCTTCGTTTGACAAATTGTTTTCTTCCATAAGGTCTGTAGTTTGATAATTTGACGACAAATGAATATAGTTAATGAAGTGAAGAATTAATGTTTAAAAAAGCAAACGAATATTGTTATTTATATGAAAATAGATACCTTTATCTCAATATGTTGATGACGTCATTGAATACCTTCTTATATTTATTTTGATGAAGCATAATAGAACTTTTTTCTTTCTATTATTTCATGTACGTTATAGAGCCAGGTGAGTAAAAAGAACAAATAAGAAGGATTCATTTTTCTCATTCTTCTTCGAAGATAACAGAGATAACATCGTCCCTGACAAAACAAAAAATACACGTTTGCTTTGTAAATAATGGACGACAAAAATCTCGCATTATTTTCTTTTGTGTTTGAATCGTATATTGAAATTACACAAAAATACAAATTTAATGATAGCTTTTTCTTGTAAAGGATCGATAATATTTGCACAAACTTCTATACATATTATAGGTAGAAAGTGTAAATGCTAATCAATATCAAACTCGTTGTTTAGTAAATTAATAATTTATTCAATAATCAAATTATAACATTCATTAGCAGATGTCGCCATCATTACCGGAAAAGTTGAGGATATGAATACGAATGAGATATAGTAATGACACTGACATCCATTCATCTATCGGCATCCCCAACGCTCACATTCTCAACATCTCTGATCAAAAATGAAAATTTACAACTTGAGGTTGAGAATTAGAAGCCGATGAGTGTAACTTCTCAAAAACGTAGAAAAAAGATTAAATGGTTGACCTCTAATTAGTTCAATATTGATCTTATTCAGTACCTGCAAGGATATGCTGTGAATGCATAATTCCAAATACAACGAATCAAAAAAACAATTGTGCAACTAGTCAACTATAATATTTATGATTTCTAATATTCTGAAGTGACATAGCAGCCGTTTAAATTGTAGTGAAAACGCGCCAAAACATTATAATAAAACGATTTTTATCAATTGTTCATATTAAATAATATTTTTTAAATATCCATATACTCATAGAAACAAATCATTAATATGATTTTTGTCGCGATATTCACCAATAAATGTTCATGATTGTTATTGAACTATACGCGTATCCAAAAAAAATTAAGTATCAATTCCACTAGTTTTTTTGAAAACTGTTAACGTATCTGTATTTGGTATACTATTCGTCGAGGTATTGCAGTCGGATGGTTTGACAAAGAGAAAAGAGCTTTTTTTATCAAAGATTGATGTTTTTTTTAATTATGCAGGAAGTTCTACATGAACATAAGTATTAGTTTCTTAGGATATTTATCGTAATCCATATAGCTTTTCTTGCTTTCGAGGTTTTGTTTATTGTAGTTTCTATATATACGTAACATTTCGATAGATTTATTTATTAGTCAATGACAAAATGTACCTGTTTGTTCATTTTCTCTTTCCATATATCGCATCTATCTTGAAAATCAATAAATAGAACTTTAATTTAAATTCAATTAATAAATCAAGCAAGAAAAAACTTTGATTATGTATGCAAAGAAGCCATAAATGATCCATAATATTTTTTCTTGGCTTCTTTAAAGATAAAACCTATATATTCATAAAACAAAATATATATACATATTGCTTTCGACTCTAGATGGCGTTAGTTTTTTAGTATAAATATATTTTTATTTTAAATTTTATTTTATTTCCTTAATTGATGAAATTATATTTAAAATACAAAAGAAAAAAACATTTTTCATAAATATAATTTTCAATGATGTAATTCTTATATTGCCTAGCTACGATTGTTCAGTTTAGAATATTCATGGTAGTAAACCTCTTGAATTACTAAACTAATTTACAAGAAAGTCAAAAACGATATATGTATATATTCGTTCCGTTTTATTATTAATTACGTTTAATCAATTTTTTTAATTTCTTCCATTTTAAATGAGTTAATAGATAATCTTATTTATTATCATCTACTTAATAAATAAATCTTTTAAATAATGACAAAATGTCTTCTCAAGGCTCTCAAAGCTGTTGATCTGGAAAATCATGTTGAATTATTTCGTTCACTTGGCTATGATTCAGCTGGTGCATTAGCACATTTTCATAAAGAACATTTTAAACGATTAATTTTAACTCAACAAGAATTACTTCGTTTTCATGCATTACTTGATGTTCTTAAAGAAGCAACACGTGAAGGTAAAATATGTCCACATTATTCAAAAGCAAATAAACCAATCATTTCAAAAAGTGCTTCAATTCATGGAGGAAGTAGTGAATCAATTCAATATCGAAATTCTCAATTAACTAAAACAAATGTTCCACAATATAGACATCAATCAAATGAAAATTTACAATCAAAAAGAATATCGAGTTCACTTGGAATTACAGGACGTTTATCATCAGCATCTGTAGCAAATAAAAGTCATGCAAATGGTTTTATTTTGCAAAGACCAACATCAGCTCTTAATCAACAACCAAAAACAAATAATCAACAATTTTTTGGACCAAAATCAATTGTAAATCGACCAGCTGTACAACACGTTAAAGTAAAATTTTGTGCTTTGTCCTTGACTTATTTTCTATAATTAAGGATAATCTGCATACTAAAGCTAATTAAATAGAATTAATGCTGAAAGAGAAAAGAAATCTATTGAACGGAATGGTAGCACATATATGTTTGATTGATAGACAAAAGAGGAATGATACATTTTGAACAAAGTTAAGATAAAATTTAGTTAACAGTTCCTACAACAATTAAAACTTATTGTAGTTTTTCTTATTCCATGAAAGTTTTGATTCTTTATATGTATATATAAATAGGTAAAATCATATAATTATGGTGTACCAACAAACAAACGTCAACGAAATGTTTCTCATCGTAATCATTATCAGCATGAAGCAGTACAAAATCATTCTTCCATATTTGTTCCATCACATACTAGTACAAATGATATAATTTCCTATGCAAAACCAGCTGAAATCTATGTTTATGCTCGTAAACGACCATTACTCTTAAGTGAAATTGATTTTTATGATACAATATCAGTACTTGATAATAAACATCTAATTATAGCAGAAAATAAAGCTAATGTTGATTGTACATCATCACTTAAAAAGGTATTTTCTTATAACAATAAAAAGACTAGTACTCATATTATATTATTCTTAGACTGAATTTCAATTTGATCAAGTTTTTGGTTCTGATGCATCAAATAAACAAGTATTTGAAAGTACAGTTTTACCATTTATAGTATCAAATCATCGTCATAATCTAACATACATTTGTTTTGGTCAAACAGGATCTGGTTTGTTTATTTGTTGATCTATTTTTTTGTAATAAAAAATAATTATTATTTTACAGGTAAAAGTCATACAATATTTGGTAGTAGAAGTACGGATGGTTTACTTATTCATTGTACACAATTACTTTTAAAAGAAATTAATTTACAAAATAAACTTATTTGTTCATTTTATGAAATTTATAATAATCAAGTTTATGATCTTAGTAATACTGGAAAAAGGTTTGAATAAAAATAATTCTTTTTCACAAAAAAATAGAAAAAAAACTCTATGATCTATTGTTTAGATTATATGTACGTGAAGATGGTGAACATCGTGTTAATATTGTTGGTATAACGGAAATAGTATTAAGAAATTTAGATACATTAAGATCTGTAATAAGTGATGGACTTTCGAGAAGACATCATGGAAAAAGTGCATTCAATTCTAATTCATCTCGATCACATGCAATTTTTCAAATAATATTAAAAAATACGTCTAATCAAGCAGATAATTTTCGACTTATATTTATTGATTTAGCTGGAAGTGAACGTGCAACAGATGCTCAAAATAATCAACGAGAAACACGCCGTGAAGGTGCACAAATAAATTCTTCATTATTAGCTTTAAAAGAATGTATTCGTTCAATGGATATGACACAATCTCATGCACCATTTCGACAAAGTAAACTAACACATATATTACGTGATTCACTTGTTGGATCAAAAACTCGAACATGTTTAATGGCGAATGTTTCACCACCTGATGATTGCTGTCAATGTTCATTAAATACACTTCAATATGCATCACGAATTCGTGATATTAGTATTAGACATCGACATCGATCAATGTCACTAACTAATATACAAAGAAATCATTTTGAAGATGAACAACAACAGCATGTAGTAACATCAACAGTTCGAGAAAGACCACAAAAAACATTTAAACCAGCAACAGCTTCAACACCAGTTCATCGATTAGTTTCTTCAGTTGACCATCGAACTTACATGTCAACAAATCAATCAGGTTTGAATTTATTCTGAAATTACTTTGAGTCTGAAAAACATTTAGCTTCTATCTACACATAAATAGTTCATTATCTAGTTTGATATACACAACAATTTTTTAGATTTACAAATAATGAATTTCCTTGTATCATCGGATCTTTATTATGAGAGTTCTATAAAATTTCTATTGATCTTTTTCATAGGTATCAATAATTATAAAAGAACAACAACAAAATCAGATGATATTAATTGGCAAATACCAGATAATGATATTCCTATAAGTGGTAGTGGTGATAATCCACGTTTAAAATCTACTCTTTCTTCAACACGTGAATTTCTGTCAAATATGAATACTAATAATCAAAATCAAAGTAGTAGTTTTTATTTAACTCGTTATGAACAATCAAGAAAAAAAACAATTGATCGAGATGGAAGTCCATCAAGTTATTTTCCATTACCACAATCTGATATTAAAAAATCATCAATAATTCAGACGAATGATATTAAAAAATCTTCATTAATTCAAACAAATGAAATTAAAAAACCAGAACAATGGAAAACAGTTCCAGCTCCTCCTGTTCTATCAGCACGACGTTATTCTGATTCATCAACTGAACCACAAAGTACAACACGAATTATTCCAATAGCACCTATTCCACTGTCAGATGATAATCAATATAGTAGTGCAACAGGTACTGAAAGTCTTGGAACAAAAATAACAAAATTAGCAACGGGTATTCGTCCTCATAAAAGATCTCATAAACGAAATGCTTTTATTGAAAAATTAAATTTACATAAACAATATGATACAGGAGGTACAACAACATTAACAGCCGATACTGATCAAGGAATTTATTCTGATCGACAAGCAACACATAGAGATCAAACTGGATTTTTTAGTAATCGTGATGATGAACCAATATATGAAAGTAAATATTAATCAAAATCATTTCCTATATATATATATTTCTTTTTTAAATAGATAATCTTAAATCAAGTCATTTAACGACAATAGCTCAGGTAGCATCACCAACAGCAACTCCAAAGAATACATCTTACCATCATCAACATCATAAATCTGATGTTATATCATCATCATCGAAAAAATCATTTTCATCACCAAATAAAGCGCATCATCGTCATCAACCTATAGAATCTTCATCATCATCAACTAGTTTAACTAGTATGGATTCAAAAAAACATCATTATTCATCACCAAAACGTCGTCATCGAATAGTTCCATATCATAATAATCAAAACTATTCGGATTCAGAAGATTATAATCAACAACGAAAAACATATTCAACACGTAATGAATCATGTCAAACAAGGAATAATATTCATAAAATGAAAAATGAACAAGAACAAACAGAAGATCAATTTTTACTTGAACAATTTTCTGATCCATCATCAAATAATTTTATGCAAGCACCACTTGATCAAGTTAAACGACATTATACTCAAACATTATCAACATCAACACCATTAAGTAAGCCATTATCATCATCATCACCTATGACAATTCTCTTCGATAAATATCCAAATAGAAATGGAATTATTCCATTAAATAATCATTCAATAGATTTTCGACGTAGACGAACTGATTTAATACCTGTTATGAAAAAACATCCACAACCATTCGATGATAATATTTATCGTCTTTTTTAAGCTAATTTTTCTTTTCTTTTTTTTTTATTTAATTTTAATTTCTTTTGCATTTTATTTATTCTTATTTTTCTTTTCTATAGTTTCACCATTAAAAGAATATGGTGTACATGTATCGGATCAATTAAATACTTTACGTACATTACTTGAAACAAGACTTAAAGAACAAGATGATGTACATCATTATACAAAAGATTCATCAATATTACAAACATCACCAGGAACATTTACGAAAGAATTTCTTCAATCATATCAACAAACAAAATATAAAGATAATCCAACTGAACTTATTAGTGATCTTGATGATGATGATGATATTAAAAATAGACAACAAATAAAAGACAAATATAGTTATTATGATACAAATCGAGATAAATATCAAAGTGATATTTTATCAACATCAACAGTATCTTCAAATCAACATGAATCATCTCTTATAGATGAAGTTAATCAAGCAAAAATTCGTCCAAGTGCAACAACTTCAACAATAACAACAGTTACACCAAATTATGCAGATAAAATTCATTCATGTAAGTAGAACTAGACAATCATATAATATCATTTCATGCTACATAATAAATGCGAGTATAGCAAAGTAATAAGAATGACAAGATAATTAAATCTTTGTCTAAGCAAATCATGAACTTGAAATCGCCAGATTATCACTTAGCATATATCCAATTTTCATATACATCAGAAGTCTTACTATGTATAACTAAGAAAGTCCGATCTTTTCCGATTCTCTTGATGTCAGTTAAACGTATTGATAGTCTGAAATTACTTTTTAAAATTCTTTTAGATGAATCACGTGTGTTATCCAATTCTGCTAATGGTCTTTATTCTCATCAATCAATTAATAAAACTCATCAAGCATCTATTAGTAATAGTGATGTTATAGGAAATACAAGTAATCCAACAAGTGACAGTGAACATATATCAGAAGTTATATCAAGATCACAAAATCCATATACTCGTACTTTATCAGGAGGTTCACTAACGCCTTACTCTCCAACACGTTCACCACTTTCAATGTCATTATTAAAAACATTCGATAAAACAAATGGTACTCATAATGATTATAATCATTCACCGGACATTGGTAAAAGTAGTTCTCTTCTTACAGGTACATCATTTGATGTATTAATGAGTAATCTTAAAAGTATGCGTGAAAAAGATCTGGATTTGATTATTCATAATAATGATGATAATCTCATTCGTCTTGACGATTAATTTATCTGTATTTATATTTTAAAACAGTGCTTCTTTTTGTTTTGCTTTTAAAAAAATAATTTGGTAGAAATATAGACATTTTTTCTTCTGTTTTATTGAGCTTATTTAATATATTTAGTTTTCTGGAACAATTTTATTTATTCGAATAACTTTGTATAAATTTTATTTCTTCTTTTGTCTTGCTGTGTTGTGCGTAGTTTACAAAACAAATAAATTTTTCAAACAAATATCTCTTTCTTTGTTATTTTAATATAAATTATTATATTTAGAAATAGTGAATGATAACAATGAATCACGATAAAGATTTCGTGATGAAAAAGTTGGTACTTTGCATAATTCGCTTTGCTTTTCTCAAACTTTAATATCTATATACTTTCTTAAAAATCAAAATTTCATGATCTTAAAAACTATTGAAGGTCAATGATAGAAAGTTTGCTATTTTCTTTTGAACAATTATTCTTTATTAAAAAGCACAAGAATTTTATTACATTCTATTATAATTTTTAGATTATTTATAGTTAATTATGTCTGATGATGATGGTAATATAAAACTTCTTGAAATTAAAGAAATGAAATTCATATTTTGATTAGATATTCCACCATTGGAAGATATTCCAATAAATACAGTACCGACAAAACCATCAGCAACACCAGTTGTAAAATATGTTGAAGCACCATCGAACGGTATTGTATATAATGATAATAGTTTGATAATAGGCAAAAAATGTACTTTCTTTTTTTATAGAAAAACCAGCAATAGACAAGAGTTATGCTGGTATGAAAAAAGGATTTTTAAATAGTAGTTCAACATCAAAATCGAAATCAAACGAATTAATTGAAGTAATACGTAGAAAACCTGAACAAACGAAAGATTTTCGAGTATTAGATGAGGTTCAACAAGTTATTAAAGAAGAACAACAATCAAAAAGTTCGATATTATTTTTTTATTAAATTTTATTTTAAATAAAAACAATTAATTCTAGATAGTTGGTTAACAAATGATCTATTAAAACAAATTGAAGGTGATGAATCTTTAGCAAAAAACTTTTCAAATCCATATTTTATGGAAGCTATTAATTTATTTCAACAAAAACCTGAAGAAGCACTTAAGAAATATGGACATAATGCTGAAGTAATGACGTTCTTTGATAAAATGGCAAAAATACTTGGTAGAAAAATATTTCCATTAATTTTAAAACAATAAAATCCTTTCTATTTAGGTACTCATTTTACTTCCATAGCAGATAAAGAAGATAAACAAAAAAAGACAAATGTCGATCCTGAAGTAAATAAACTTTTACAAGATGAACAAGTTCGTCAATTATTACTTGATCCAGATGTTGTTAAATTTATGAAATTCTTACGTGAAGAACCTGATAAAGCACAATGGTAATGAGAAAAAAAATATATTTACATTAAAATTATATTTATTTATATAGGGTAATGCGTACGGCTGATGCAACTATGCGTGGTAAAATTCAACGACTCGTTGAATTAGGTTTACTTAGTGTGGCTTAGAAAAACCTAATGAATATGTTATTTGTTTTTTGATTGTATTCTAATAAATAAAATTCAATAAAAATTGATACATTTATTTGAAATCTCAAGAATTACTATGTCTACACGTACATGTATGAGGTTTATTTATCAATAGATTCGATTCTTTATTTAGAATAAATCTAAATCTTGTGATTGCATGCTATCTATTTTTAGTTTTATTTACCTTTTCCTTCACGTGTTTTTATGACCCTTGATTATGTAAACACAGAAGACAAACAATAGAAAACCTTGACTTTAAATTCATGCAAGCAGAAAAAAAACAAAAATATTCAAAACAGATATCTCATTTAACATATATTAAATCAATGCAAACTATTCTTCAAGCATATCATTTTAGATAAGAAAAGGTAGGAATAACATTTTCCTGTTAATCAACTCATTTTATTGACATGTCAATTTTAACATCTACAGATTATGAATCATTTATATTGCTTGTTATATAGTTTTCAATATATGACGTATATTCTTCTCTATAGATATTTATCCTGAAACAATGCCTTGACTACCATTAATTTATATGATTGTATATGGCAACATAAGTTTATTCAATATGTAATACAATTATCATATCTTTTCTATCGCTAATATTTGTCAATTATTTATAATGAGATGTTATATAATATCAGAAGTCTGTAGAAATATATTTATTTAAAATAAAATTTTTTTTGTGAAATAAAATATAAAAGTTTTGAGTTCTGTTAAGTATATACTTCTCTTGTCCTCTTTTTCTCATTAATAGACGTAATAAAAGAAGAAAAAAAATGTAAATATTAACAATATGAAAAATTTCTTATTATGATAAATGAGTAAGGATTTGATTAATTTATTATCTTGTCAATAGAATTATCTATTTTAATCAAAAGGATTTTCATGAGAAAATATTACCTTTAGTATTCTTTGTTTTTTTGTTCTCTTTTAAATACATTTGCTCCTCAACATACATTATACGTGTATATGAAAATATATACATCGAGCTTTTTTTCTCTTCTATACAGAAGCGGGCGTACACGTTGTTGTTGTTGTTGATCATTCTTTTTTTTTTCTTTTACCCTAAGCATTAAAAAAATTGTCCTTTCATCGTGCCTCTCGACACTTTAAAATATTTTCAAGTAGCTGTAGTGACGTAAATATATATTTATTTAAAATAGGAAGGTGTAGGCAGCATTTCATTCGAAAGATACTGATACATATACAAAAGCAAATTATTCAAAGTCTTATTACGTACGAATAGAAATGGGTAATAAAAATGGTACATACGATTCATTAATGGATGAAACAAAAGATTTACTCATGAAAAGAACTGGTAAGAAAATATGTTTAAATAATAGTTAATTTTCAACAAAAAAATATTATAAATACAATTTAATTCGATTTGGAATATAAACTTAGTAAATGGAAAAAAATTGCAGAGATAGTTCTTTCTCTATACTCAGGACACTTTATTTACTATATATTTCTCAAATTTCATAAACGTGATTAAATAGAAGGTCAATATTAAATGAATTTATACAGATATGATGATTAAGAATAGTATTTCTATTTACATATATCTAACTATTACTATAATAAAAGATTTTTCTAATCCTCTTATTATTTCTTCTTAAGGTATGTCACAACATGATTTAGAAGTATGGTACAAAGCAATATTAGTATGATGATAGAAGAAATATGTCCTTTCGAACTTGTTCTATTTGATTTTTGTATTTATAGGATCGATCGAAAAAAGGAAAATTATCTAAAGATCAAATGGTTGCAATTTATAAAGAATTGAGTGATGTTGATTCAACCCGTATTAGTGATGTAGTTGATGCTATAGCAAAAGTTTTTGATGAAGATCGTAGTGGTAGTGTTGGTAAATAAGATTTTGTATTTAATATTAAAAAAAAACAAATCTTCTGATAAAAAATTTAGATATAAATGAATTTGTACGAGGTTTTATTTTAACAACAAAAGGTGATTTACAATCAAAAATTGAATATACATTTCGAATTTATGATGAAAATGGTGATAATGAAATATCTGGTGAAGAAATTAAAAAAATGGCAAATGTATTATAGAAAAAAATAAGATTATTAAAATGAAAAAATATTTGATTTTGATTTTTTTTAGGCTATTTTACGTATGTTAGGTGCTGATGAAACGCAAGATGATCCAGCATCACAAGCTATTGTTCAACAATTTCTCGGACAATTTACAGGTGGTGAACATGGAGTTATTCGTAAAAATGATTTTATTAACGCAGTCTTGGAAAATCGAGAACTTTTGGCAATAATTTCACCATTTTATGGTATAGATCAGCAATAACAAAAATGTTTTGATTGTGTGTCTGTGCGCGCGCATAGTTGTTTTTGCTTTTGCTTACTTCACTACATGAAATAAATCGAGTGCATATTCATGATTGTTTGTGTTGTTCGTGATGATTACATTCTTTTCTTTTCTTTCTATATAAAAAATATATTTGATTACTATTTTAGCTTTGTCAAATTCACATGAAGATCAATACTGATGAAATATCAACGGCAAATATACAAATAAGATCATTGTCGATTAAAGTCAGATAATCGAAAAAAAAAAGAATTCTATTAATAAAATTTATGACTTCAATGTTCTATTGTCGTTGTTTTATCCTCTCGGTTTTTTTTGTGCACCTATGATTAAATTATTTACTTTTCTCAATCTCACCTTTTGTTTTTGTGTATTTTGAGATCAATTAGATATTAATGATGAGTAAAATTTCATACAAAAGGCGTTCTATATATTCGATATCTGATCAAAAGAGAGCGCATATTCGCACGTATATGAACATATGTATATTTTTTCTCAATTAAACTAAGACGAGGTGTTAACGTTATTTGAAAGAATGAATTAATGCATATTACGATGAAGCTCGTGTCAAATCCGTATCCGTTCTAGACAAGAACAACTACTATGTTCAAACGGAAATCGATTGTATTGGAATTGAGAACAAGAACAGCATCACATCTATTAAAATAACAACATATATTATAGGTTCATTAGTTTGTGTAGGTAAAGAAAGAAATAGAAAAAAAAAATTGACGACGTCAACAAGCGGAAATCAAAGTGTATCCTGTCGGATATGCCTGATGATTATGAGTGATCAAATAAAATATTTAAAGAAGAACTTATTTCTTTTTTTTTAAGATGTAAAGTAAATTTTCCAGATGAATTAATTCAATACGCAATCTTTTTAAGTAACAGAAGAAGAAAGAAAAAAGAAGAAAAAGACTTTCTCGCTCTCTCTCTCTCTCTCTTTTTCTTTATCTTGGAGGTTAACAAAGATTAGAAATCTAGGCTTAGTTTTACCAGCAGGAATTTCAAATGAATGATGTATGTACATTAAAAAATACCGGAGATAAATCTGTAGGTGTTCTCTACTTCTTCTTTTTTTTTCTTCGAACTTATTTTAGAAAGTCATTAGAACAACACTATCATTCGTTCGTGATGCTTACATATATTCGATGACCGCTGTGAACGCCTTCACAAGAAATAGAAATAGAAGCTAACAAGACCGGATGCTCAGTGGCATGATTCAATTAAGCGTATGCACATAATATTACATCGTGGTGGACATAGTTAGTCAGTCACGGTCCCTAATGGATGTGTACGTAATCGTTCTTTTATATAAAGACAGTATTCTAAGTCGAAACAACATTAAGTTCTTTTAGTTTTAAAGAATTTTTTTTTGACATTTATATAAAAAAATTATATATATATGATAGTATATGCTTTTCCGGAAGAATGTGATCGTTCTTTTTACTTTTTTGCTCTTTTAAATGAAGGTCGATCATCAACATTTATGCTTGTCATAAGAAACTCTTGAGTGTCGACTTTGCGCGTTCGAGCATGAATTATATGATAGAATCGTTTAGAACATTTTCTTTCTCTCTCTCTCCCCCTGTCTATCTCCTCTCTCTCTCTCTTTGTAGCTCTTTCTCTCTCTTTCTTTCGTCGTATATGAAACAATAAACACAACGATGATTATGTTTGGAGCAGCAGCTTTCACCCGCCCGCCGGAACAAGAAGTTGTTCAGGTGCCCGAAGAAAAAGAAGTTAGTTACAAGAACATGAACAGTAATAATTGTTACGAGACTACTACCACCCGTGTAGTTGCGTCATTATTCCGAGAATCGTTCTCAGATGTGTGTATATATGATTGTTGTATATTTATGTATCACATTCTCTTTTCTTCTATATATGTGCATGTCAACAAGGCAAGTATCGTGACTAACTATTACTATTCATATCCGTTCACATATGTGTGTATGTGTATAAGTGTGCAGAGATTCCCTTAACCTTGACGAAAGGTGAGACGCGGACAATGATCATCATTCTCATCATCCTCATTTTTATTCTTTTATATG